GAGCAATCCGGGGGGGGGGGGGCACTTGGGTATTTTTTGGGTGGGTATGTGCCGCCCGGGACTTCATATTGGCACCCCGTTCTAAAAAAAAATTCCCCTAAAATTGATACCCCATTCTAGAAATGGGCCAATTTTTTATACCCCATTCTAGAATTCGCCCTAAAACTGATACCCCTTTCTAGAAATGGGCCAATTTTTTATACTCCGTTCTAGGGTGCAACAAGAGTATAACAGTTTGCTTCAGTAACGCATTGAGCCGTATTTTTAAAAGCAATTTGTCCTTGAATAATTTCAAATGGCTGCTTACAAAACTGGAGCTTTCATGCGTTCGAAATATTATACCCCGTTCTAGAAAACGCCTCTGAAATGGATACCCCTTTCTAAACCAGGAGCTTTAAAATCACGACCCCGTTGGGCGGCACATACCCGTATAGGTAATGTATGGGAGTACCCCCCCCCCCTCCACCGGGGGAGCAATCCATGAAGCATGGCAGATTTTTCGGTTTAAGTCCCCCTCGGAAACAAAACTGATCAAAACTTGTCGTCTCCCTTCTTGATTTAAAAAACATGCATCTTGATTTAGAAAACGTGTCTCTTGATACATGACATGAAACACGTGGGAATTGAAATTAAATTCTACAATCTTGACACATTCAAAAAGCAAATTGATGTTAATTTTATCTATCTTGATAGTGAATTGGTGGATTTGAATTATAAAGTTGCATCTTTGATATTTTGTCACTTTTGGCGTAGCATACCCCGGGTAAAATTTATGAAAGATTGTGCGTGAAAGTAAAAGTTGAACCTCGCTCAACTTCGCGCGTGAAGAGAAACAGTTCATAGCTTGTCGCTACTTCTACTTCTACTTAAAATGTACTTGCATATACACGCACGTTAAAATTAGCACGCGATTGTGTAAATTTAGCAATTTTTCTCGCGAGCGATTTTGAAAATATCTTTATCGTTGTGGCAACCTGAATATTTGTTAGAATATAAATTCTTCTAGAACTATGGGCCTAAAATTTCTTTTTTCTTAACCTGACGACTAAAGTTTCGGCTCTTTAGTTTCAGCGAAAGATTGAGATATAACATACATAACATGCAAGTGTAAAATGACTAACAAAGGGAATTGTGTGCTATAGCTATAGCACTAAAGCTATCGTAATATGCAGTATTGCCGCATCTGAGTCACTCCTCATTCTAACTGCCAACACCTTCACTGTCAGTACATTTTCTGGCCTCATCGAAACAAGCTAAAACGAACTTCGTATTAGAGGATTTGTTCATCGGCTTCATCCAGAAAGCGATCAAAACAGTTGATCTACAACTATCGGAATGAATTTTTATTTTCGATCTACACCTGACGACTAAATTTTTGGCTGTTGACCCCATTACTACCCTCAAAAGAGATTTATTGTTTCATACTCAATTCATGTTTTACCCGCGGGCGTTCTGACAATTCTCTTCATTCCGCACATTCTTATTATCATGCATGGCCGCTTTCGATTCAGTTAGAGGACACAAACAAAGACGATTAATATACATGTTTATTCATTTTCTTAATATATCGAAAGTGTTCTAATATCTGTTGTATACGAACTGCATGATTAAAAACACCGCGCCAGTATCGTGATCTCTGTTTGATCTCTGTTTGGCACAGATTATGACAGGTAAAAACACGAGAAGTAACAGAAAGTTTGATTTAGAATATTCATTTTTGATTTGGAAAAAGCATGTCTGCAATTATATCAGCAGTATTAAAAGGCACAATTGGCTTGATCTTGAAAAAAGGAAGAGATGTAGCGGCGGAGAAGTTGAAAGACGGCGACGTAACTGATCAGAAACTTCGTGGCCTGATTGTAAGTGAATTGAACGATATCAAGGGCAAGTTGGATGCATTATCAAAAAAAGATCTCAAAGCAGCTGTAGACTTTTTTGGAACAGGACTCAAGAATTTAAATGGTGCAGTCGTTGCAATGCGCGGTGCTAATGTTAGTGTGGAAGCTGGTGAAGTATCTGAAACAAATGAAGAAGAGGACTTTGACGAACTAGCTTTGCCCTCAGACACTGATCCTGGGAAGACAATTGCCGTCGCCGCTGGAATAAGAAACATGCAACTAACTGAGTTGGATGAAACAACGAAAAGTCTGCTTTCAAAGGCAAAGGAGAAATTCAGACTGGCTGTTGAATACACAACACACGCTTGCAACAATGAAGCCCTCAGCACGTTTGATCGGATCACAGCCATTCGATATCGTGTTATGGCGGCAATGTTAGAGTCAGCAGCCGAGACAGCAAGAACCACTGGCGACTTGAAAAGCGCTTTAATGAGTGCATTACCAGAGTGTGAACATTGCCTGGAGATACTCAATTCGTTACCTGCTGTTCAGAACAGCTTTAAAGTGGAGCTCAGTAAAGGTCTCCTAAACATAAGAGGTCAATTTGGTAAAGATGAACGGATGCAGATAATTTCCATCGTGTGTCAGGTAAATCGCACCATCTACGATGCCATGCGAACGGTTGGTAAAGACGTACATGTCTTGGTGTGGCCATATGTTGACATCGGAGAAGACCAAGTTGACCCTCTGCGCGATGTAAGAGTGTTACAAATGTTGGAGAAATCAGAGAAAGTTGACATGGAGCACAACTGCATTAAAACGGGGTGGTCGTTTGATGTGAAATTAGGTCGTGATGGGAAAATCCTACGAACGAACACCCGGGGACAGTTTCTGATTGCAAATATGAGGGGGACAACCGTGCATGTGTATGATAAAAATGGTATGTTTCAGTTTAGTTTTAATCCCCAAACTGATGATACTAAAATAAAGATTAGAATTTATGATCTCGTCACTGAAGACGTTAGCGAGAAGATCTATTTACTGATCGGACTGTACAATGGAAAACAATGGGAGAGAGAAGTGCAGGTTTTAAACAAAACCGCTGACCTACAGTACAAGTTTCCTGTGAGAGGCGGGTGGAGACTGATAGTTAGCGGCAGCAAACTAGTAATATTAGGAGCATGGGAGGCTCATGTGTACAATCAGAATGGTGAGTTTGATCGTAGTTTTGAGTTTTTCAAGATTGGAGGCGACAAAGAGTTGGCTGATTGCACTGCTACTTACGATGGCCGCATCTTGATAAGGCACGATAAAGGAAACTTCAGCGATTACTTCTGTGTTCATGTATTCACAATGGAGGGACAGGAGATTGCAAAATTCAGATCTGGCGTCGGATTAAACTTAAACTATATGTACTTTTCACCTCGCTCTGCAGGTGAACATGTTGTCATCGCTGGTTACAATAAAGAGGATGGGATCATAACAGTGGAGTTATACGCTGTGGATGGAAAGCTTGTGTGAAGAATTCTGTTGCGTGAGGAACCTAAACTTTATTTTGAAGCAATTACGGTGACCTTGGAGGGACACATTGCTGTGCGTTTTCATCTTGATGGTAGCAATGAAAAGGTAGTTGTCTTCAAAAACTAAAAGACGCGGCTTTTTGACTTGACAAATATTGTAAGGAATTTCATACAAAACAACTGAGTTACAACACTAACAAGCTTTTTCTTTTCAAAAAAATTATATCTCTCTAAAAAAACACTGTTAATTATTACTTTCGTAATTGTTAAAAAAACTTAATACTGTTGTTTAAGTTTCGTCCCGGCAAAAACGTACAAAACCAAAGACGTTTTAATCTCTAGAAGCCTTTAAAATTTCAAACGATATAATATTATTTTATTCATCCGCTGGAATTTTTGCTTAGAAAAGAATTGGAGAATGGCCCGTCTACTAAAATCCGTTGAACAAATCAAGCATTTAAAGAGATTTTTTTCCTTTTTTCCTTGACAACTACCCTTCGTTGGCTCATTCGATTTCGCGAACAGGAACAATTATTATTCCCGTAAGTGAGGTTAACTTTCTGGTTATACGAAACATTTCGCGTGTCTCAGATGTAAACAAAGTCGCAAAATCGAAAAATTAGTGATTACCGGTAAAAAATTTTCCAATTGTTTGCAAACGCCAAAGTCTATTTTTCGTCATAGTGCAAACAGGGGCCCAATACTCGCTCTTTGATGAAAAACTTAAGCGCTTAGGTTGTTCATTTAACTGCGACGATCACATCCACTTTCATATCCGGATGAAGCCGGACGTGAACTTAAATGTGTTTTTAAAAAATATACAGCTGTACCTAAATGTTGGTCAGATTAATTTGTATAATGAATCACTTCCAGTAAGCTTGACTTTGTTTCTTGGGAAAACAAGAAAAATCGTGGATGAGACCGTCGTGACTACCTACGCCCTAAGGCTTAGCGTTCTTAAACAACCATTTTCACGCCTAGCCGAGGTTGTTTACAATAGGTCAAACATTTTGAGCTCGGAGGTATGATTTCCATGCTCTGCTATATTAACACCATGATCTTTAGATATACTCAAGTTTTCTTGGGGAAAGATACCTCATAAAGTTACCGTCAGCAGACTCCTGCTTGAAAGGACTGATTTTGAGCTACAACCGCTTTTATCATTCATCCAAAATATGCGCCCTTTATACCATCGAGTCGATGGTACATTTCTTTGGAAACGAGGTTGATCGATGGTACATTTGATTGGAAACGAGGCTGCATGGGAAATAGACCATCGATCAAACTCGCTTCCACGCGCGGCCGACTGGCTATTATTCACGAGTGAACTAAAAAATGGCGTTCACGGCTATCCGAAGATGAAGTAGCTGAATTTCTAACTAAAACTGCACGGGATAAATGCAAAAATACGCAAAATATATCGCTTGTGGATAACATCCTCCTCGATCGGCAGAATTCTTTACATCCTACTCAGCCTCATTCAATAATTGCTAAATATGTAACAACAGAACACTCTAAAATACCTCTGGTGTGTTGTCTTGCCTTAGCTCGCTGGTAATTGAATAACGAAGTAATTTTCTGTTTCCCCCAGTTTAATTTTCTCTCTAATATTGCATTTTCTATGTGATGTGTAATCAGTACAATAAGTGTATTCTTTCTTACAAAACTAACGTTAGAGTTTTATAATACTAAACAAAGTTCATATACAAAGAACGGCTGCGCAGCTATACGTGCCGTAGTTGATTTAGAATGTACTTAGTATAAGCAAAAAATCAGATCGGAGGTGAATAACGTGCATATAATATCTTGATATTTCGTGAAGAGTTGATTTAATGTTAAGACAAGAGCTCTTCGCTAGCATTTGAATTAGTGATGTAAAATTTACTTTAGAATCTTAATGATCCTTAGCAATGTTTTTTGTTAACAGCAGATAACAGCAAACCTGTAAAATTATAGGTAAATTTAGTGATTTTTGTAAAAACGAAATTAATAATAATGACAATATAGAGTAACAGGAACTTTAACACGTTCATTCTTATATAGCCCCGATTTTTTTGTAATTACCCATTTTTGTATAATTTCTCCTGTATTCATTATTTAGTTATGGTGATTTTTATGGTTACAATCAAATAAGTACTGTACCTTACCTTTATTGTAAACAGACCAATACCTCCGTTTGAAGAGGCAATAAAGATTTAGTTTCTCTGTTAAAAGCGTTACCTACAAAAATGCATAACATACCAGAGAAGATCGAGAAGGACGTGATTTGCGCAGTACACTCGGGTCCCCAGGGGGGGGGTACTCGGGATTTCAAGTGACGGGGATGATCAAAGGATTTTTTTGGGTTTGAAATTTTCGATTCCGGATTTTTTTTGGGTACGAAAATTTTTGGGTAGCTTGATTTGAGTAGGGATTTTTTGGGGGTATTAAAAAGAATCGGTAGTGCCCTGGCTGCGTAGTTCGCGAATAAAGTACGAACAAACATGTTTTGCTGTTGTTTAATAGTTAACTATATGGTGTCGCACGTATTATACAATAGTCTGCATTGTCCCGTGGTGCCTGGATTTTTTGGGGGTTAATTTTTGGTCCAGGGATTTTTTTGGGTTTTGCTGGAAGCCCTAGGGATTTTTTGGGTCTTGACTTTTGGCTCCATTCGATCATCCCCGTCACTTGAAATCCCGAGTACCCCCCCCTGGGCTCGGGTCCACACCCGTCCAAGTTCTGTATTCTTTTTTTCAGCTGTGAGCTACGGTAAGAAACAATTGAGGTGCTGATGGCCCGGCTGCCTTTTTCTATACGAGTCGACTTCAGCCAGTTGATATACCTTAGGTTTTTTCTTTCTTTCGATAACTCTTACCAAGTTAGCGTGAATGGTCTGTATGTTCGCCGTCTCCTCGAGTAGCACTACCGTAAGGCGGGATGTTACTAAAACGCGGAACGGGGAACGAGCACGGGGAACAGTAAAATGAAAAATGAGACAACCGGCGCTGGACGTTAACTCAGTGTCCTGACTGCGCGCTTGTCTGCGCCAGTTTTAACATCTGCTTGGAACTTCGTTGCAGAGCTACCCCTTAACCGGCATCATTTTTAGCCCGTCCCCCAGTTATAAGCCTCAAAGTCGGATCATTATACGCTTCTGGGAAACTGCCCCTGTTGGCTGAACTAAGGGAAAATGAAAGAAAGATTTCCTCATATTTCAAAACAAAGTAAACTGCAAGCATGTTTCAGTGGTAAAGAGTACTTTTTCAGCCCTCCGTATACCACGTAAGTAGAGCCTAAGCTTTCATCCTGCTGACCAAAAAGCCCGAAGACCTGGCAAAATCTTGCAGGTCACGGACCGTTGTCGCGCAAGCTTCAAATTTTGGTTTTCCGACTAAGACTCTTATTTGTAGCTGATGACTGCGTTGTCAATCATTCCTTGGCGAAGATCAAGTAAACAGCTTTTGAAGGTAACTGTGATCAGGCGTTTTGGTTTGGGAATTTCGAAGATGATGCGAAAAGACGAAGTCGCGGCCATGCGAATTGATTACAAAACGCCTGTGTTTGACGAGAGTGGTCTCGTGGCGAAAGAACCGTTTATGCAATTCGACTCTTGGTTTAAAGAAGCTACAACAGCAGAAGGTGTTGGGGAAGCAAATGCAATGGTTCTTTCTACATGTGGAAGGTAAGTTACATCCTTTTGGATGAAGAGGGAAAACGTCTGACAGAAGCAACACGAGAAATGCCAGTGTTAAAAACAAAGATAAGCTTAATGATAAAAGCTTACATGTTAAAAGTTCGAAAAGGTGTTATTTCGGAGTTAACCAACAATCCTAGTCAAACTGATGCTAAAACCATCAAAGTGTTTCATTCGTGGGTAATCATGTTTGTGTAGAGTTGTATTGTGGCATTATTGTCGCTGATACGGTTTGATGATTGATTATTTAATCACCCAAGAAATGGCCCAGTCGCTTGAAGAGTTTTACATACTGCCAGAATTATTAAAGGACCATTGAACCAAGTTCGACATGTATTGCATGGCCATGGCACTTAACTTCATCAGATTTTCCAGCCTGCGAGCAAGTTCTCCGGAAAGATCGCTCGCGGGCTGGAGATTTCCATTTTTTCTATAATTATTGGGACTTTGTTGAGTCTTTGAATTTGTAGTAAAATATGTAACCAAGCTTTCAGGAAGATGTTTGCAGGTGGCTGTAATAATCCTTGTATTGTCTACGATATACAAGGCATTGTCTACGAAAGACTGAAAAAATCAGCAGCATTATGCAAAGTTCTGACATTTTAGATCACTCTGAGCAGCCCAGCTACATGTACCCTCCTACATGTACTTGTGATGCCATCCTGTCAATTTGTGGGGGAAAGACAGGAGTATATGGTGGCCAGCTGATGATGAATAATTGATGGCATTGTAACACATAAACTTTCTCTCCAGCTAGTGCATGATGCTGGTCACTTGTCAGGGAGGGACTTAAATTCAGGGTCCCCAACCAACCATGTTGCTCATCTTTCCCTTGTCCCTGGTACAGACTGTATGTCATCAGCTTATCCCCCTTCTCCCCTCTCTGAAGGGGCCTCTTGACAGCTGTAGGTCCAAGGACAGATCCAGAAAATTCAGAAAGGGGTGGCTAGCACACTTGCCCACTTGCCTGCTATATAGATACTTTTTATTTTTCCGAGAATTCTGTAAAAAATATCAAAGAAAAAGGGGTGGCTGTGGCCCCCTCGGCCAAGTCCCCTAAATCCACCCTGGAGGTCATAGGAAGCCTGGGGAGAGGGAAGAAAGAAAGTGCATGGGGAACAATAGGAAGAGAAAAATTAAGATGGAATCCATCAGCAGATTCAGTTATTTTAATTTTCAGTAGACAAAAACCTTGTACCAGAATAATTTAAGCAATATTGCATTCTTTTTTACATTTTTCAAGAGCTATAGATGTAGTTAGGTATCTGTATAATAACACCAAAGAAAATTTCTTATGAGAGCCTGAGGAAATAAATGTCAAATTTCACAAAATGACACCTTACACTTGAAATTTTCAGAATTTTGTCTGTGTTTTCACAATTCTTGTGAAATTTGGCATTTATTTTCTCGGGCTCCCATGAGAATTAATAGTCTTTGGTGTTATTACAGATAACTTAATTATATTAATAGCCCTTGAAAAAAGAATAAAAAGAGTAAAAAAGAATGCAATATTTTTTAAATTATCCTGGTACAAGGTCTTAATGGACAAAGAGAGGCCTTTTCCCTCTTTGCATTGTCCACCACACAATTGCTATTTTTTGATTATTGCTATTTTTATTGGAATACCCAGTGGGTGCCTCTGTGGAAGAGAGAGTATCCCCATCTTCTCCCTATATCTCATACATGTAGCTTGTTAACATGTGACTCGTAAAAACTGCATAATTATAAATAACTGCATCATTTTTTTGCACTCTTTCAGAGACTGCCGGCCAAGGGCAAGAGTTGTTTTGCTTAAAGGATACGATAAGACAGGATTCACATTTTTTACCAATTATGAAAGCAAGAAGGGCGAGCAGTTGGTGAGTATTGAAACCATGATAAGTTGAAGTGCTTGTTTTATACAGTAAGTTACCTACTATTCTTGAGTCAAAAACACCAAATTTTTATTGTGAGGAATACAGGCTGTAGTATAGCTGACCATAATATTATGTGACCTGGAAAGTGTAAACAGACACTTAGGGTTTTCCCTTCAACAGGCAGGAAAGAAATGGATCGATGTAAACAAAATTTTTCATTAAACAGTAAAGTGTCAGTGTCCATTTTTGCTGTCCAGGTCACTTACATGTGTATTGGAGGATGTCAGAAGATTTGAATTTTCGTCTTTCTCAAAATATTTGGTTTGAGTTTATTATTTAACTAAATAAATTTGTTTTAAAAAATGCCCCATGCTTAAGGCTCAAATTTTCCTGGAAGGTGTATGTATGTATATTAAAAAGGGTAAAGAAGTGAAAAAAGGTAAAAAAAAAAAACAGTAAATGTAATTATATTAAAAAGGGTCAGAAAATATACATATAAAAAAAATGGGAAAGCCATCTAAGCCAGCATAACCTTCCTTTATAAAATTACAATAGTTCTGTTTGAATGCAGTTGTGGAAAGTTGAACCTGAAAAAATTCATGCAGGCATTCATGCTAGGATTCTACCCTGACCTCATCAATGTTCCACAGTGCATCGCTTTAACCAGTTGAACTAGCAAGCCAACTGGGAGCTGGTCATTAAATTGGTTTGTAATAATTATACCAGGGAAAGAAGGGAAAGATGAAGATTAAATAATGAATATATGAATTTCATCACTGGAACTGTAGAATGCAAAGAAGGTCCAACTTGTAGTGAAAGATGCAACTTATGCAGTTGCAAAAACAAAACTTTCCCCGACCGGTATAATAGACCTTTTTACCGATACAGCGGCCATATTGAATTAATTCGATTTAAGGAGTATTATAGGATGCCCAGGGGGCATGAGCACATTTCGTTTGTATTTTCGAGCCCTTTTCGGAACATTTTTTCTTAAAGTTTTCTTAGAATAAGATTGTAATGGGAAAAAAGATCCTTTTGCCGTGTTTTGATGTATTAATGATCGCCTTTTTCCCGAGAAATATACAGTGAAAGACCATATTTTTATTACTAAACTAGAAAAAGGCGATCATTATTACATCCAAACACGGCACAGAGATCTTTTTTCCCATTACAATCTTATTCTATGAAAACTTTAAGAAAAAATGTTCCGAAAAGCGCTTGAAAATACAAACGAAATGTGCTCATGCCCCGGGCCTGGGCATCCTACAATACTCCAGGTTAAATCGAATTAATTCAATATGGCCACCATATCGGTAAAAAGGTCTATTATTACGAACCAATTTAATGAACAGGTTTAGTTGGTTTATTTATTATATATATAGCTCCATTGGTTACTGAGCACTGCACTAGCATTGCAGAAGTCAGGATTTGAATCCCAGCTAGTTTGAATATTTATTTTCAGCCTTTTTTTTTCAACTGCTTAATTTGCATCTTCTTTTCATTATTTTCTTCATTCTGCTGTGAGTCCCAATAAGTGAAATTCATATTAATAAAAACTATTCATTATTTATTGTTAATATCCTATCCATTACTGAATTGTTTCAGAAGGAAAACCCCTATGCCTGCTTATTGTTTTACTGGCATCCATTGCATCGGCAGGTATTCTATTATTCTGTTTAATTATTATTTTAACAAGAATGTGTGGTGCATGCAAAATTCACTACACTGTTCATAGGCTTTCTATTGATTTTCTTAATGGAAACTATTAAAAACAGAAAGTACAAGAGCGATTGCAGTGAAATAAAGGGGCCATGGGAAAGTGAAACAAATTCTCACTCCTCAACCCCACCGAGGGCATAGTCGCCTTAAAGCTATAAAGCCTGGGCTTAACAAAAAATTGGGTTAAAATAAGCTTATGTAATTACTTGGCGACTGTAATTAACAATTATTCTATGAGTGCGCGTTGGATTTAAGATGGTAGATAGCCAACGGGGTGCACAGCGCCGAGTTGGCTATAATCATCCCATATCCAACAAGCGCAAGTGGAATAATTGTTTTATTAAAACATACCTGCCAAGTGTCATGCCAATGGTGTGACTGTCACGGCTGCAGATCGAAAACTTCAATCCCATGCGTACTCACACCTGTCCTCCAATTTCTCATGCCTGGTAGAAATGTTTGAGCCATTACAGCATTAACTGACATATATATTTCAAAAAATGTAATATTAATTATTAACTGGAACCTCATGCATGAGAGAAAAGGTAAGTCCATGTGAATGATGGACTTTCTCTGAATTCTCTCATTTTAGTAAGGAAAGTCACTGGAGATAAGGTCATTTTCCTGCCTGTTCCCATGTTCATGTTAGATGGAACTCTACGGAAATCCTTTGAAACGTCTTCGGACCCCTATGAAAAATCCTGGCAGTCTCTCAGGATAAAAATGTCACACGTATAAATTTAAAAAAAGTTGGCAGGTTTTTAAAAAACAACCACAAAATATCGAGAATTCTTCCCGACTTTATTTGTAAAAACAACTGGGCCAAGTTGTTTAAAGTTGGGTTAAGATAACCCAGGGTAAGTGCGAGGTTTGCATTCAGATTTGAAAGCTTAATTAAAAAGCATTTCAGTTTTAATTCTTTTTGTCTACAAGTTGATGATTGTATAGCTCTAAAATTAACAGGAAAAATTACCGGAGAAAATGCTTTTGAACGCACAATGTAGCGCTAATCGGCCTTCAAACAACTAAGCCCTGGTTTTCAGCTCGTTTTTACTTTGAGCAGATGCATACAGTTACCACACATGTATCAATTGAGAGTATGGTATATTGGCTCATATACCATGATGGCTAAGCCAATCAGAGCCTTACAATTGAACTTGGCTTGCTACTATGTTTTATGTCCCTTATTTGAGTAACAATAAGCTGAGGGACTTCAGCCAATCAGAAAGAGGGAAATATTTTGGTTGCATAACAATACATGTCGTTACATTCTATGTATGTATACTAAAATACTTTTTTTATGTTAGTTTTCATTTTTATTCCTATCACCAGTTTGTATCTCTCATTCCTTCCTTTTTAGGTGAGAGTGGAAGGGCGAGTTGAAAAACTGTCTAATGAAGAAAGTGAACAGTATTTTCATTCTCGTCCTCGGCCCAGTCAAATAGGAGCAATAGTCAGTAAACAGAGCTCAGTTATCGAGAATAGACAGGTATGGCCTCAATGAAGTTTCAAGTGTTCCTTTCATTAGCTAAAGCACTCCTGTTTAGTTTGCAATTACTTTGCATTTGTCAGAGAATAAAAATGAATTTGCATACGTAAGGAGAATCCATGTGTTATATATCCCCTTATCGGAGACACAGCGGATGTCAGCCAGGCTGGGAGAAAACGTTAGTTGCACCGTTGCAATGCTGCTGCAATTGCCCATGGGTTGCTTGGGATGGTGTTTACCTCAAACAGCACCTCAAAAATTATCACCCTTATTAAAAAACATTATGAACAGAGACAGGAATAATTATTTGCACCTTCCTACAGTAGTAATATTTCACAGTATATGATGTACACCTGTATGTGCTACTGTATGTACAAGTAGACTATTTGTTCCATGTTGATGTTTTTAATAAAATGGATTTATTTTGTAGGCTTTGGAAGAAAAGGAGAATCAACTTAAGCAAGAATATGCTGATGAAGGAAAACCAATTCCTAAACCTGAAAATTGGTGGGTGATACATATTTTATAGAATTTCTATTTATTAATGTTCTTAAATCACAACCCAAAAGAAATTCTGAATGGGATGTTTTGGGGGTTAATTTTTGGCCCCATTCAATCATCCCTGTCACTTGAAATCTGGAGTACCCCCACTTCCCCGGATACAGTAACTAATCAGGATTCGGTTCATCTTGTTTCCTCACAAAACTATGCCATAGGCTTTTCCTCTATTGTTTCAACTGAGTGTTCCACGTGATAACAATCCTGTTAAATATTACATGTCTCTGTGTTTTATTTTATTTCAGGGGTGGGTTCAAAGTTATCCCAGATCAAGTGGAATTCTGGCAAGGGCATTCCAACAGACTTCATGACAGATTTGTGTTCCGTAAACCTGGAGTGGATGAAGTTCTTGATGAGAATTTAACAAAGAAAGGAATGGATGGTTGGGTCTATGAGAGACTTGCACCATAGTTATTAGTTACTGAAAAATAAATACAATCTATTATTAATACTAAAAACAACAACTACAATGTCCAATGACTTCAACTTCTGTAGGGAGCAGAGCCTCATATTGCAATATGCAAATTCCTTATTTATCATTGTCTCTAAATGTGGATGTCAGACAAATATACGTAATATGAATATAAATATTATGAAAAGTTTAACTGTTCATGGGACTGGTTTTAAGCTTCTTCTACATGTCTCAGTTCTTACAGGTTCCAGTTTCAGACCATCACCAGAGCTCATTGTAGTAGTAACATAATTAGTAAACTACTATACTATTATAATTGTTACGGACCGAATGTGTAACACTGCAGTCTGTGGATTTGTAAAGATTGCCACTTTTTGGAAAAGGGAGCAGGGGCGGATTCAGGATTTTTTTTAGGACGGGGTGCACTTGTCTCTTGCTCTACTTCAACACCAATAAACCACATAGTTTTTTTTTTGCAGAATACCAGTTGTATTAGAAAACCGGGGAGGGGGGGGCGCACCCCCTGCACCCTCCCCCTAGATCTGCCCCGGGGGGGGTATGAAAATTACTTTATTTCATGTAGTAATAATAAGGACCAGAATGGCTTCTCTAACAAAAGGAAAGTATTTTTTAAGTTTTTGGGTTTGTGGGTGATGGTTATAGGCAGGGGAACATTTCTCTTACATCTAGGTTGTCCGGTCGATAATCGTTCAGTTTTTTTTATGTATAAAGATTGAATCGATTTCTGCTGATCTTCTCTGGCCTTCTCTCTTCTGATGAAAGCCAACCTAGCTGGTTCACGCTTGTAATTAGAATGCACAGTATGATGAGATACAAGACAATTCAATAAACTTTATTAAGTCTCCCAACAGGGATTCAAAGCAACAACTATACTAGAAAATTACCATAAATTTAAAGAATCGTATTTGTCATATAAAAAGGTAATGTGTAGAATTCTTCCAGCTATATTTGAAACTTGGGGATTTATTCTCCCTTTTCATAAGTAGGGAGCAATAGCAATAGAGTTTTTCAAGGACGCACGTTAACCGGAAGTGAGGCATTTTTCTTTTTGTTATGCCTTGGCGTTACCAAATTTGCACTGTTAAGAGACTTCACTCTAAGGCTGCTTGCAAACGAACGCAACATTGGTTTGCAATTCCCAACGTTGTTGGATGTTAAATGTTGCGTCTGTTTGCACACCCTGTTGCATGTTGTTGGATGTTGTTGCGAGTTGTTGCGCAAAGTTTGAAACCGGTCAAACTTTTCAGCCAACAACTCCCAACATTTCTTTGTTCCGTGATCGCTGAAGCGTAGCGCTAGAGTTTTGGATCCGTTTGCACAGCTCTTCCAACATTGTTGGGGCCACGCACGCTCATTACGCATGGTTTACAAAGACTCAAAGGTTGTATCCTTCCCACGATGCACTGCAGGTCCCAACATTGTTGGAAGTTGTTGTATCCTTTTGCAGACCACTGCCAACACGTACGCAACATCTCCCAACATTGTTGTGCCAACAATGTTGGGAGTTGTTGCGTCCGTTTGCACGCAGCCTTGTAAAGACTGTTTGCCCGAAATTATGGCAAAACCACCGCTCAAAAACGCAAAAGTCGGTTGACGCGCGTCGCTCAAAAACGTCTTTGCTTAATCTCCCTAAAAATGTAGTAGCCGCCAAAATATCCAGGACTGGTTGATTCCGGAATCGTATTTACCATTTGCACAAATCAGGTCTCTTTACCGAAAAACGGCCGCGAAAGCCTGTAACTGGTATCAAGGATGCGATTTCACCAATGGAACACGCATTTCCGATTGGAACATTCCGTCCGGAAAAACAGGATTACCTTGCCAGATGCTTCCGGTTGGTCCCGGAAATTTTCCGCAGGCAGGACCCAAAAATAATGTTCCATGTACTTTTCTATGTCACCACGAGAAAGATCGCATCTTTCGAACCACGTTGTTAGACCCGGCTCGAACTGGCTTGACACTTCCGATTCAAATTCCCCCCCCCCCCCGTCCCCCCGCTAGAAATGGTTAGAAATGGTCCCCAATCCTTAGACGCAAATGATGTGATGGTTAATGCCTGGGGTTTGCCTGGCGGGGTGTTGAAGATTCCAATTGATCGGCGCATTACAAGCAACGAAGGCAGTTGCGTTAAAGTTGTCTCTTGCTTTTTTTTGCGCTAAGCATGGTCAAGCTCTGCTCCTACAGTTATCTTAGATTGGTAAAAAATGTAAGAGGTGAGTTCATGCGGCAACATTTGATGCATCATCTAGGAATTAAAATCGAATTTGTTTACTGACAACTGAAGCGAGCCATCTCAAGTTTTTTAGCGTTAATATCTTCCACTAGATTTACACACGAAAGGATGCCGGTGTTTGAGAAATGCTTCGCTAAAGTCGACTCGTTATTGTTAAAAGAAGCTTACGGTTAGTGCTTCATCTTGCCAAAATGTGTACTAGAACAAAGTAGGTAGATACCCCCACAAATCGAGCTCAATTTTTTTCTCGAGCGCAAAGCACGAGGAAGAAATTTTTTATGTTTTCGGTGGCAAAGTGAGCGAGGGACCGGGAGCTTCCGGTTGGGGCCCACTACCGGAACTGTAAATCAGAAGCGAAGGACTTTGAGAAAGTCCAATTATCGAATTATTACGAATTACGAATTATCCTTTTTTGGCGGAGAAATCTCATCAACTTGCAGAGAAATACATTAGCGCCGATGACGTCATCGCCTTTTGTTTTTATTTAACGAATAAAATGCGGAGAAATGTCATTAAGATAAGGTCATATGCTATTTTTAAGTGGTTAACTGGTTTGACTCGACAGGTTAAATATAGATGACATCACAGCCTTTTCTCTTTACTCATGAATGAAATGAAGAGGAATCGCCACTGGTTAGTTGCAGATGTGATGTACAAAGTAAAGGCCGAATTTATCTGCATGATTTCGCAAAGCAAACATGTCGAACAAACACAATCGAAACACAAACAGTCGTCCTGAATTTTCAGTTCGGCCGTCTCTTTATTAGACGGAGAGACAAGACCAACAAAATCGTATCGTACAACTTGTAAATGTGCCGCCACCCAGAACTATCGTGTGTTAACAGCTATATTCTACAACATAAAATTATATGTTTAGGCAATAGTTTCCGAAATAGTTTATTTCCCTGATGGAGGATGATTTCTATTGTTGGGTGCATATGTTGTGGTTCAATTTTATCCCTTTGGGGTTAAAATTCTATTTTCCTTTGTTTTAAACACATTATCATACATTAGGGAAGGGACTGTACGTTATTTATGGCTACGTGGTGAGAGGAGGGGGGGGGGGGGTTTTTCTGTATGTTTATAGTTATGGTATTGTATGACAGCATTATGGTTGGATGTGTGTGATTTTCTAGCCAGCAAGGAGGTGGTGGGGGGGGGCGGAGCTGGAAGACTGGGGGGGTGGGGGTCATGGGGGGTACGGAGTATCAGTTTGCAAAATCAGTGGAAATGGGGGGCTCATTTTTCAAATGCAGTAGAATTTTGGGGAGGTATCCCTTCCTAAAATAAAACAGTTTACAGTTTATCTGCAATAACGGGTATTCCGCATTCACATAAGATGTTGTAAAGTTCTCCCACATTCATAGAACGAAAAAATAAGAGGGCTTCAACTGGATTATTGAGTCGCAGGTCGAGGAAACGTATTTCGTCTTGGTTCAAACCCAGTTTCTCAGCAACAAGCTTCCACTTATCGTCGGTTGCAACTGCAACATGAACAAACGCAACATGAATTGGTATTAATTTATTTACTAGTTTCTTGATTGTTTTTTAGTACCAAGGTAGCATACATATTCTTTGAAAGAAAATGCTAGGCTTTTAGATAATCCGAGATTATGAGCTGGGCTGTGCCGTGGGTACATTGCTTTAAACCATTACCCTTCACTAGACCACAAGCAGCTAAAGGTTTAATTTAACTGTAGTCTACACTGCATGGGCAACCCGGCGACCGTCAAGTATGGACCCTCCATTTTTGCCGCTATTATCTCCCCGGTCTAAACCGGATGTCGCCAAAGGAGACGTTATTATGCCACGGATTCAATGACATGAGAACTGTGAAGAGCTTTTAAAGTAATTTTTAAAAATGTCTAAATCATACCGGTCAAGGACACGCTAAGTTGTCTTTTTTGGGTAAAAGGAATGCTTCTTACGTCAAGGGTTTCAGGTAACAGCGGACCTAAAATCAAACAGGTATATACAATTTATTTTTTCTTAAGTGAGGACATATTATCGAATCTAATTAAAGTTTACCCGTAAAATGAATAATTTGAATAATGCCGAGAAATTAAAGGGGCTGTGTCACGGCAGTCCAGATCATTATGTTTAATTTTGCCAATTACTCGCCCTCAACCGCTATGGAACTTAAAGTAAGCAGAGAGATTACATGTAAATGACGAAGTCAGAGATTCGAGACAAACAAATATGTCTCCTGAGCATTATTTTTGAAGTTGCAAACAGCAGAGATAAACTTTGAAAAACTGTTAGGCTGAACAGGTTTCAAAAACCCTAATTTCAATCCGTTTCGATCGTCTTCAGTTTTGCTCATCCGTGGCATCTGTTGTATCTGTTGTGTCATTTTAACTTTCCTTTAATGGTTTAAGCGGTTATTTTTATGTTTCTCTTGGATTTAACGGCATTTTGTAATACCTAATTTGGCTGAATTTCGTGACACAGCTCCTTTAATCAAACAAAAATGTTATTTTGGTGCGAGAATGTCCTCGGCTTGAGTAACCGCAATATAAGTCGAGGATCCCACTCCAAGGGTTGTAATTTCTCCTCACTCCAATCTTCCTCAGTGATATTTTCTCGTCCCAAAAAACAAGCCTGCATTGAAGGCTAGTTTTAACGGTGGAGGCTGCATGGCCAAGCGGTTACAACCCTGGACTTGTAATCCGGAGTCCTGGGTTCAAGTCCCGCCCTAACCGCCAGCTAGATTTGGTCTCCAGTTGGGAATAGTCTTAAATATGTTCCATTTGAATTTTCTTTCATTAGAGCGATTTTCGTCGGTGAAAAATGTTTTCGGGAAGTGTACGTTATATATTTTATGACTTTATCAGCTAATGAATAAAAAGATCAAAACATGGACTCTTCGTTTTCCTGCCAAAGAAAACCCTAATATGGAGAAGGCATTGTTCGATTGGCCATTCGTGTTGCAGTATGACGTCAAAGGGAAGTATCGTTTGATTTCTAGAAAGTTCTCGGGCATAACGTTTTCCAGCCGAGCGTTCGCTTAACAAACCAAAAGCAGCACAAGTTTGTATCCGTTCGATAAACCAATCAAATCACTCTTTTTCCGTTCGTTTGTTTCTGTTTTGTTCGCGCGTTTTCATTTCAAGGTGATACAAAAATCACTCTTTCCCTGAAAAGTCCCATAATGGAAGAGGTTAATTGAGCATCATTGAGTATTTATTATTATCATTATTATCAACATCATCACCATTAATAGCGATAAAAGTCAACAACGTTTTAAGTAGTTTTTTTTTTTTCACTTAACATAATTAACATTATTATCATGAAGCCAAATGTCCATCCATAAATTGTAACTTCAAAACCTTTGCTGAGCAACAATACCTTCTCACTAGCAACATCTTTCTTTTACTCGCAACACAGGAATGCCGCAGAGAGAAAGTGCGCGAAATTGTTGACCGTCGCAGCTTAAATAAAAGGGATACAGCAGATGTTGGGTCTTAATAGAGTAATAGTAAGAATAGATAACATGAAAATGTTAAGTACTCTTTATAGAAGAAAAAAAAAAAGAATAGAAAAAGAAAAACTGACGAGCAAAATACGTACTCACCAGTAGTGCCAGCAGGTGTAATTTCTCTTAAGTATTTTACCACATCGAGTCTTTCTGAACGCCTAGCTTCTCTTGTCAAGGAGCGGATCCATTTCTTCGCCTCACGGTTTGGTTGTTCGAGCGAGGCTTGATTCCATTCAAGGGTCTCCTCCAGTTGGTGAACAATTTGTTTGGCATCGCACTCCTTGGACGTAAGGTGGTCAAATACGTTGCTACGAACTGCAAGCGCTCTTTCTTTGTTTGCTATAATTCAATTGTTTGAGAAATTGTTAGAAATATTGTGGTAACGGGTTGAGATATACATTTTTTTTCTAGAAAGTGCTGAAGGAATTAGGTTTCTCTGTTGCTGATTGGCTCAAAAACCCAAGGAAAATTCTTCATAACCAGCTCGCGTTGGCCAAATTTGGAATACTTTTGGGACATTTGGAAAAATATGTTAATAGTACAAAATAATCGCGAGAAAAAGGGACGTCAACCGATAAGCCCTGAGGATGAGGTTGCGTTGGTTCGGTATAGCCGAACTACTACCTGAAAACCTAGCAAGAACAGCAAGAATACAACTCGACGGTTGACACCTGCTATTTGAAGAACAACCCCTTGTTATATTGAGGGGGACCGGCAAGAAGTGCAGGACAACCGATTTGACAGTCATCTGACAGGCGCGTCAGAAAATGAGAGTTTTTGTTGGCTAACGATAACAATATCACAAAGGTTATGAAGAAATACAAAATGCAAATACCCCATTGTTGAAAACGTTTATTTGGTCAAAATTAAGAGCACTGTAAGTTTTAGCTCGGTAAATATATTATGACGCTTCTTTTGAAAACTAGACACCATGTCTGCGGCTTGAAATCACTTCTTCTGTCTTTAGTTGGTCTTTGAAAAACAAAACAAACAATACAACACTCAACAATATTCACTTCCCAGCGAGTGAATAATGCTAATGCAAAATTGACAAAGCTGCCATTACTCCAAGTTTTCGCGGGCTTTTTTCCGCTAGATGGTCAAAGCATACCAGTTACATCTTACACAGAACGTATTCGTATGTTATGGCTCAAAACGCAATTATAGTAATATTCATAACGTATTTGCGCGGTAAGCAAAATAAAGTATATTTACACTACGTACGTGTAATTCAAAACGTATATTTACGTTATGACAATGGTTCGTAACGTATAGGTATGCATGCATCATGTCTATAACGTACGTATATTGATGCGAAAATATAACTTAAGTAAGTTTTATAATACCCATATCTTTATCTTGATACCAATAATAATATTATGGTCACCGTCTACGATTATTTGAGTTCTTCTTCATATTTGCATATAATATTTTTGTCATTTTTGGTGTTAATTATCCCGTAGAGGGGAAGGAGGGAGAGGGGGAGAGAGGGGGGGGGGATTGACATTCCTGGGAATTCTTGATGGGGGTGTGCACCCGGTTCTCCAAATCCTGAGCCTATTTTAGAACAAAAATTGTCATCTTTCCGACCCATTTTCAGACCTGGCCTCTATACCCGTTTTCAGACCAAGCCTCTAAGAAAATACTTAGATAAGAACAGCAACAAAAAAGATTTCTTAAAAGTCCTTTTGAATTCGCACACTTCTCTTTCTTTCTTACTCATTTGGAACTGAAACGGCAAATACGTTCATACAGTCCTGTAGTTCCCTCGAAAACCATACCCGATTTCAGCCCAAAATGGGCAAAGTCTTTGCCCGTTTTCAGACCAAAACAGCCCAAAAACCCTACTCTTTGGGGCGGCACATAACTATATGGCTTATATAAGGGAGTAGCTCCCGGGCGTTTCAAAGATTAGATGTGTTATAAACTTACGAATCATTCACATAACTGTTGGCACATTCATCTTACCTTCATCAGACGTAAATGGGTCTTCGTCACATTCACTAATTGCGAGCAGTGGCTAATAAACACAAAATTAAAGTAAGCTGCGTAATTCTTATTGGTTTACAAGTCCAATTTGTATGTGTAATCGAATGATGACGAGTAAAATTTAAAAATAATTTCACGAGTAAACCATTTCATGGAAGACAAATTACGCTCACAATGTATAAATTAACACTATCATGAAATTTCGCGCCAAAAATTAAGAAGTAATTTGTCACCCATGATATTAATATTATAAACAAACTTCACTGAAAAGTTGTCTGTTGTTAAATTAAAATTTGGTTTTTCCGCTCTTCTCCACTTGTATAATAATCTTCTTGTAAACTTAGAGCCTGTTTACATAGAGGTGGGGGACCCCAGAGAAGTGAGGTAACCCGCTTATGTGGGGTAACCCGTTTGTCCATGTAATCTCTCACTTTGATTTGATCTCGTTTACATGATAGGTGGGGTGACCCGCCATATTTTACCTCACCTACCTGGGGTCCCCCACCTCCATGTAAACAGGCCCTTATATTCTAACGTCTGCATTTTCACTATTACAGTTTGCAAAATTATACAATGGAACCTCGATATAACGAAGGGCCAAGGGATGAGCAAAATGAGTTCGCTATGACGAGGCTTCGTTAGACCGAGGTTCTTTTTCATACTTCTTTACTGAGGTAAAGAAAATCGTTCGTTGTACCGATGACTTTTCTGTATAGAGGTTAGTTATATCTAGGTTTCACTGTATCACGGCAATATAATTGTGGTTCCGTATCACTCAAAAATAACTGAACATTAGCTAAACATTGGCGCATATGTTTTTTTTTTCTACTAAACACTGCCCTAATTTGATTATTAGATTTTGTGGCAAATTTGACATGACCTTCATAAGCATCACTTAATTAGCGGCATGACGCGCTACGCGCCACGTGCCACGCCCCGTATTTATTGTAACGTTCTGTTTTCCAGCATATCTTTGATTGTAATCATTACTTTTGGCAGTTGCCTGATGATTGCTTCGCAAGAGGTATGAGACTCTAAGTAGCAATAAATGTTCAATATTTAATACAGTTCCACCAGTCTAGTTATATATAATGTAAATATTTATAATATATAAGTGTGAATAAAACTGAACCGTTGGGAAGAACCATTTGGAAGAACATCGTTAATTCTACCTCCTGGACGTCATCACCTTCGTAAATTAAGGTGCATTCAAACTAACAAGTTTTAAGGAGGTGGCATTATATTACAAGCGTCAATTCATAAATAATGAAGTGGATGGGGCGTTTCCAGAAAATCAGATTTGAAAAGCTCGGAATTATTGCTCTAAGGTTAGTACCTGTTGTATTGAAGAAGGAAACCAAGGTGAAAACTGCATGACCTGCACTTTGGTGCTTCGAGCAACAGCAGACCTGGTGCAAGAGATGTTTTCCGTGTCACTGCATAACTGAGAAACTCTCCAGAAGTGGAGGCACTGTTCTTCATTGCATTTTTTTGCACGATGCGTTTGGCAGAGGGCAACTACCTTTCCCCTGGAACAGACGGGACAGATGACACACATCTCATATTTCATATTTCTCAGCCAGGGAAAGTCATTTCGCATACACTCCATCAGCAAACTTAGTTTCCTACACACCTGACGAGCAAAGACTACCTCATAACCGTCGGGTTGTAAGTCTGCTAAAGTGCTAGGTTTCGGACATGAGTCATCCTTAGAGTTGGAATTCCCTCCTTGAATAACAACCTCAACGGACGAGGAATGACATACAAGTATTACGGAGTAGACACCTCCAGAGGTGTAAAATCTGACAAAATCATGAAACAGCTGGGGCTTCTCTTGCGCCCAGAATCCATCTTTTCCCCATTGAAGGAACTGTGCGACCAGCCGGGGAAAGAAACCTGCAGGGACATGGCCGTTTGAAAATTTAACAAACAGTGAAGGAATCTCAGCAGACTCAATAAGATCATGAACCTCCTGTGGTGGATGAGACATCAACATTGATGGGACAAGATATTCCTTGTTGCTCGAAGCATTGGAAAACCAAGGACACAGTAGGCTAAATCTCTCCATGATAGCAATAAGACTATCTGAGGTTTCTTTGTCCTTAAACAAAGGATCCCAAACGTGCGCCAAAAGTTGTTCATCAAGTATCCCCTCGTTCTCAAGCTTAGACCATAGCTCTAAAAATTTTTTCTCTTTAGGATCATACGGCCTGACGGTTATCACCTTCTTAAATACGTCAACTAACCACTGAGGGTCCAAGATGACGACTTTACATAAATGCACGTTGTCATCAAAATGAATAATACTTCTTAAGTCGTGCAAGTAGTTCATTAAGGTCTCAAACTCGTTGTGGTCAATAATATTGCAAACTTTTAACGCAATATTATTTGCTGATTCCAGAGAAATGCATTTTTCCTCGGTAAGATTTTCTTTTACCGCCTGAAGTGCCTTTTCAAATTGAAGCCACTTAATTGGAACAGCTTCGTTTATGTAGGGTAGCTCTCTGGCAAGGGAAAGCACCTCTTCTCGCAGTCGCATAACCTCTGGACAATCGGAGTTTTTGACGCTGAGACTTGTGTTATCTACGAAAAATACATTAGATAAATGACCACCATACGGCTTTTGTTTCAATCGACCAAAGATCTTACAAGCTAGGTTTCTGGGATTGCCACCACCGTAAGGTATATCAGCATGGGTGCACACCAGGAAAACTGGAGGGAGTTTTTTTAGCAAAACATCTGAGGCAAGAGCTGCCTCTGGTCTGTCGCCGAAAGAAGCCACGGATGTCATCCAAAAATCAAGATAATCAAAATTAGTTTTCAGATGAAAGCGTTCTTGATTTTCTTCATATAGGCCTTGTTTCACCACAGGCTTTGCCTCGTCGTCAGGATTCAGGCTAAGATCATAAACCAAGCAATAGATAGCTCTCTTCGTTAGAAATAATGGGTGTGTAGTGTAATAAACGGACTGTCCAGCAAAATCCCACAGAGTAGAATAGATTTCCTCTTCACTGTCCTCAAAATCGCACTGGAGTAACGTTTCGGTGACTGCTGCTACTTCGTCAGGAACATCTGGATATGGAACGTTAACTTCCTCCTCATTTAGCACTTTTTGAACAGATGAAACTTGGGGTTCATGACTGCCAATAGAAGAAGATGAAAGTCTAGGCGTCTTATCCTCTGAATTTTGTAATGGCTCAACAGGCCTTGAGTCCTCTACTTCTTTGAAATCCTCTGAATTAAAGGCATCTGCCCCTTCCCAGTTACCACCCTCTAACTGAATGCTTTGTCCCTTCTCCTTCAAACTGCACGCAATACTTTTTGCTGTTTGGTAATCAAAGCTAATAGCTGTTTCAGTATCATTGTATTGATTAGCTGTCACTCCTGTCTTCCATGTCTCCGTAGATACTTTGAAATGAGAAGGATCTACCTCTATACCAACAGTGCTATCTTCTTGTGGGTCGAAACAGATTCCTTTCAATGACTTTTTTAAGCTGGTCTTACCCGCACGGTCTTGTCCTATCAGCATTAACGGAACCCTCTTGACTAAAGTTTTTCCATCACTGAGGGCCCTGTTATAGGCTTTTACGGCTGCAATGCCCCGCGCAAGGATCTCAGGAGGAACTGAAAATTTGGACAAGAAAAAATAACATTTATCACCTGATTATTTTTTCGAAGAATGAACTGATATATTTGCTTGTAGTCCTAAAGCGTGTTAAGGTTTGTCAAATGGAAAGGTGCTTTGTGAGATATAAGGGTTTGTCCCCACGTAGTGCCTAAACTTCCCTTACTCACTTTACACATGGGTGATGTTGCCGAAATAGCGGAAATATGAACATGAATGTAATGGGTCAATTACTAAAATGCGATTGAAGGGGAAAAAAAAGAAAGATCCCGAAAGAAAACATTCAGGTTAGTTTCAGTCTTCTGCAGTAACTCTTGACCAGGTTCGTCTCAAGAAACCTTTGATATTTCAGAACGTAAAGCCCTGCAAATGACCATGTATCTCAAAAGAAATTATTGTTATTATTATTTATTCTTTACAAATTAAACAATTACGATTTATTACAGACATTCACAATTCATTACAATTGAGTCTAATTATCGGTTACTAAAACTCATCTTACGGTAAAACAGATCACTATTTTAAATAGAGGAAAAAAAAAAGATAAATAAAGAAAAAAAAAAATAGAAAAGTCCACATAACGACTACAATAACAAACACAAGAAGGTTGCCTGTCTTTTGGTCCTCCGTCTCCCATCTGCCCATTCTCACTTGCACCTTATTTAGCCGTTTTGATTAAATGATTATTCTGAGGGGCATTGTACAGTTTGAAAGTAGCTTATTTCTTCCTAAAGGAGGCTAAGTTATTATTATCGAAAACAATTATTACGTGGCTTTCTGCTAACCTGTTCTAGCTAAAACCAGACTTTGAACTTTCTTGACAAAGCGAAAAAAGTCGGGAAGCTTTTCAATTATTTTCTCTGGAATCCATTCTTTTCTATTCAGCAACTCGTCCCATTCTCTGCAGTGGAGGAAAAAGTCCTTCTGCCGAAAAAAAAAAAAACGCGATAATCCGTTTCGTAATGAAATCATCAAAACAAGTGCATTCAGTAATTCCAATACCTTATACGAGGTCTTGAATGAATAAAACGCACAGACATTTTACGAGCTACGTAGTATCCGGAGCCCCACCCAGGCCATGATTGACAATGGGTATAATGGCTGCGCATGTTATCTACTTACTGACATTAAATCAGAGATTAATAACTTTACTTCATAAAATCACGTCAAACTTTGGTTCGTCCAGTCCAGCCCGTTATTTGTTTCGTAATTCTTTGACAAATTAATAACCTGTCAAAGAGGCAGAACTTCCTTTTATGGTAAATGACTTATTAATAAGAGTTGCGTAATAATACAATGAAACTGGACTTACTGCTTGTGTCTTTTCTTACGTCTTATTTGTAAACTCACGTTAACTGTGTGATTTAGAGATCTTGCTTTTGCTTTTGCGATCACAATTGTCTGTCTAAGGACTACAAAACCAAAATAATTCTCACATTTTCTACTAGGGAGCTAAAGTCTAGAAAAAAAAATCGCTTTCGTGGTAAGGAAGCATTGAAACTAGCTCCTATAGAGAAAGGTAGGCAGAAAAGCATGCTATTGTTTTCATTTTTTCATGCGACTGAAATGTGTCAAATCCTTCGATTTTTTTTTAAACTAATACTTACTTTTGACCGCATTACGATAGTAATCAGCTATTTAACCCGAGGAACGGAATAAGTATAATATCACCCATTGAACTTGTAGAAAATATAGTAACATGATAACTACCGATTCTCTGGTCTCCTCAGTTATTGCATCTCTTCGCCACGAACGTTCTTTCGAAAGAATTATGGTAAATCCTGGACTTATTTCATATTGGGTACGTTTACAACATCGGTTGTAAACAAAATGGAATTCTTCAGGCATATTCTCTCTGGAAAGAGAAATTTCATTCTCATCGACATCTGTCAAACTCAGTTCGGACAGAAATTTTGACAAAGCTTGGGTTTCTTCATCATTAGGCACGTAGTCTGTGTGAAGACCAGAATCTAAAAAAGGCAAATAACACAATGTAAGGTCTGGAACTACAACTTAATATAGTTAGAGTCGATCAAGTGATGGTAAAGCTGCGATCTCAATGCATGTCTCATGTGTTTTTGCAGGGCGCATTAGCTTAACTTTTCTGAGAGTGTTAACTGTCTTTTCTGATAATAAAAAACTGAACAACAATCCATTTGACCGCTTTTCGTTATACAAGTGACGACCTATGCGCCAAAAGGTACCTTGTTAAAAAGATAGATAGGTATTCCTTCTTTGCACTAGAAACATGTAGGTACCAACGATCTCCCTTCCATTCATTCCTAGGTTAAACTATATAGGAGAGTTATAGTTATAGAAAGTATAGCTACTCGATGTCCTCATACTTCACAATCAGCTAACAGTTTTGGGATGAGACCAAAAAGCTACCTAAAAAAGCTTGTGACAACCAAAGTTCCGCCGAGAGACGCAAACAGAAAAATAGTTTTTATCGAGATTTTTAAGGCAGCCCCTGACCAAATAAACCCAACATGCTTTTAGAGCATATAGAAACCCATTTGAGACGTATATGGAAACAGTCGGTTGTTGGGTGCTCCTGATTAGATAATACGTTTGACCTAGCTTATTGCAGGAGGGAAAGATCTGAAAGCTGGCTATACAATCCTTTGGCTTACCCGACCAGAATGAGTCGCCTATGGCCTTTCCACATTAATTAACGAGTTCTATTGTCCTTGTTGTATTTCCTCTGTCCATACCACGGAGCTCAGTGCGCTAACCGCGCGCAATTTAATTTGGGCAAAGGTAGTCACTGTTAGTAGTAATGGTGAAGATATTGAAACGGATAAAATGGAATCTCCAATTGCCTTGTCAGTCTCCCGTCCCTTTTAATTGGAAACCTTAGTTTCTGTTAAACTGATCACAGTCCCCTATTTTTTCGTGAGATCGTCGAGATATAGCGCCTTAGCGTTAATGGCGGCCATCTTGATTTTCAAATGTACCGAGGGGGCGGGCGTCGAGGATTATACCGCCAGGAGCTAAGTGTAGTTTTGACACTCATGCAAGATGGTAGCACGTGACGCAAACCGCTCGATCTCGACGAACTTACAGAAAAATAGAGTACTGTGAGAAGTCTAAGCTTCTGTTCACTCTATCGTCTATTCAGCCACATCATCGATATCGTACCTGATTGACCGCGGACAGTCAGTCGACAATCAAATTCGCAACCAGGAAAGAGTATGTCTGCCTGCAGGTAGCTGCGAGATGGTACGACCAGCCATCCACGGCAACGTGACTGCATAGCTTCGTCCTTAAAGTGTATCTCTTTCAAGATGTTTTTTACGTCACTTAACGGTAGGGGAATATCTTCCAGCCGTTTCCCGACGTTTTTCTTTGCAACCCATACCTACGTCATAACACAACTGTATTTTGTCATCTAAAACCTTTAACATTGAGGCATGCAGGAAACCGATTCTGAAAACTGCAGCACAAAAGCAGTGAGTCAGAAATAAGGTCATGAACTGCTAAATATTAATTGAAATGTTATTACTTTTGATTGATATTAATTAACATAGACATTTTAAATTCCATCTATTAACAGGTAACTGATTCGTAGCTGTTCACGCCACAATGAGATTGTGTCAAGGGAACTCCACTTTATTTATTCCTTCCAATCCAGTAACCATTAGAAAGGATGCAGTCAAGTTTTATCCCACTTATCGGCCTTAACCTCCTAAGACTAAGTTTAAAAAAAGGATTATTTCCAAGGCAACTAATCATAACTTTCATCTTTTCTCGGGTATATTGGCTATCACTGGAGGTTGAAATCCCGGCGAGCCTGAAAAATTTATTTTTGCCACTGCATGGAATATACCCGACGTTTACCTTACACCTAATTTGATGTCCGGATGGTGTCAAAAATGTCAAATCATGCCTCGCTGCATAATCCACATATTCCTCAGGGGTCTTGTCGCAAACGTTTTCTTCGAATATTTTTTCCTCGAGATTTACCACTTCTTTAAATACAACCTTCCAGCTATCTCCACCTGATTGTCGCAACTTTTCTGTTACCTCGTCAATACTCCATTGTCTGTCATTAGCTTCCTCTATACAAAGAATTAACAACATTGTCGAAGGTGTTACCTTTATTAAATGGAGGTGAAAATCTGAAGAGCCTATTAAGTAACATAACTATCTCCTTGTGCGTACTTCGTGGTAATGGTTGGTTACACTTACGACCTTCTTCCAATACTAGATCAATAAAGTTTCCCAGACGTCAAGTAGGGTAGGCTTACACCAAAATCATGAGCGGGCCAACTCAAAGAAAACAAAACCCCGGAACAATAATGTCCTAAACAAAATCTCCTCAACCTACAACCTCCAAAATTTGCCATTTTTACGAAGATTAAAGATCAAGTCTTGCAACGAAAAGTTATTGGTTCATTAAGGATGTTTCTTTAGGGATTTAATCTAGCTCATAAAAAAGAAAAAACAAATTGTTTTACATCATAATCCAAAGATGGAAGAAAACGCTATAACCTACCTTGGTTGGCTCCTCGGATCATGCCTGTCCCAAAATGACACCACATCTCGGCTCTGAGATACTCTTTTGAATCAATTTCTTTTTTGACCATGCGTAGTGCATTTAAAGTATCAATCTTGAGTTGTGACAAATAGGCTGGGTCATCATTTGGACTGCAACAGTCCTAATAGGAAATGAAATGAAATTTTTAAAAATCACTTGAGTTTATAATTCTAAAAGATTTAGGTACGGTGGTCTACTCAATTAACACGTTCTAAAGCCAAATGTGATGAATTCTAAAATGGCCTAATTCTGGTTAAAAAAATAATAAAATAAATAAATAGCCATTAGAGCAGTGCGTTTTTCCCCATTTGATATAGTCGGCTTCAGTTATGGCTTCAGTACTTCAGTTCTTCTGCAAATCAACGTCCTACTGAAAAAGATGTTGACCAAATCTTTCTTTGGTTACGGGATATGACGTTGGGATATGAGGTTAATCCATTAAAATGTACATTTGTAACAATATCTCTTAGTCTTTATGTTTTAAAAAAACATTTTAAATCTTTTTACCATTTAAATGAATCTGACTTCCCAGGTGTGTTGTGGTAGTGACGGTAAATTAGACTCAACAAAGATTTGAGATAGCACAATGTTAGGAGCTGACACGTAATGATTCCTTATTTCTCGCAAATCTGACAGGAAGAAATTTCCCACCTGTGGTTCATGATCCTGGACCGGCGTCAGTCGGTAGTAGGTACGTGAATCTGAAAGCAATGTGTCATCGGTATGAACTCCATGTGCTATTTTCTCCAGCTTGAGATTGCAGTCGGCTGGAAGATAGCTACTATCGATGTAGCAATATGAGTTTTTGAACTCATTTTCCAAACCCCTCAATCTAGCTCCTACCTACAGGAATACATTCAAAAGAGTGGATTTAAATCAAAAGGCTAAAATTAACCTATTAAATGAAGGTACCATCCCTCAGAGCAAGGTTATGTGAATTATAATTACTTACGATGGCTATTTTAATATGAACTTTTGCCTTTTGTCTTTGTTCTTCTGTACCACTGACAATGTACACCTCTCTGTCTTTTCGAATCACCTTTGCCCCTGTTTGACTGCTGATTCTTTTTAGGTTACTGCCCTTCTTACCAATGACTAAACCTTTGTATTCTTCTGGAATTTCCACTAGTTCATCAGCTGAAGATTGTTCAGGGATCCTTTTCTTTAATTTCTCCTGTCGAAGGAAAAAAGGCCGTCACGCAAAAAGTGCGTTTCCACTTAGACACAAGTAGAGACACACATACACGCAGAAAACATCATTGGAGATGAAGATCGCCTTATCAAGCAACACTTTTACCTGGGAGGCTTCGACGAGAACCTGTCGAAAACTCATTCATAAACTTGGGTTATATTTTTATTTTTCAAAGAAATGTATGTCTGGGCACAGGTAACCCAGGCTCTGTGATAGTACCACAGTACGGTTCCGGTAAAATTACAGTGTTTGTATGGGCTAAAAATACCATCCTAAAATTTCTAGGAAATACTAAATAAAGATCAATGAAACTTACTCTGCAGTTAATTGTTGTTTTCCTTATTGCTCCAACGAAGTTTCGTGATAATTTGCAGTAATTTGTTCAAATTCACTCTATATACAATAATAATATACAAGGTAGGAAACACGAGATACCATTTTCGCCGACATGCTCTAATTCAACACAACTTTTTCCACGAAATTCAAACTCCAACGGAAAATAAACATGCCACGATCATAGAACTAGGATAGCAGCAGATATACAAACCAATGAAGCTTTCCCAAGTAGAGAAACGAATCCCACAGACTTTGACAAACTCGAAGGATATAATCCAAACAGACCGAGAATATGCTCGCCGAAGCAGCGGGGCCAGATCAACGCGCGGCCAAGAAAATGAGGCCTGGGCAGTGTAAAAAAAAAAAAAATCCCGGGAGTCCTGAGGTGACCTTTCTGGGGACCGATAGATCATTTGCCCAAAGCCACCCTACCCTGCTGAAGAAGCTAGAAGGCAATTGTTCTTCCTAGCCGTACCACCCCGGCCTGTTATAAAGATATTATGTCCCTCTCGAACTATATTCAGCGCCTGGCGCTGGTCCTCAGAAAGTCTAGCAAACATCAGTAGGGCAAGGTTATAAGGGCAAAGGAAATAACGAAGGAGGACTTTACAAAACTTAAAACGAGCAAAAGATATAAGTGAATTTTGGCTCTTACCGCGGCATTTGTACAACAGGACCAAATTCAAAGAGAGGTGTCACGATGGTTCACATATTTAACTGATAGAACGTCCGGTTATATTGACAAGAAGTCGGCGTGTTACGGCCGCATTATTTACTGGTGCACATGCCTTTCACATTCGTCTCAGTCATCGCAATTCATATTCTGTTGGAATTTTCTGTATAATTTTTGACATTATTTTGTAAACTTCACCGTTTATTTACGATCGTTTCGCTCGAGAGTTCACCCCAGGGGGGGTACTCGGGATTTCAAGTGACGGGGATGATCGAATGGAGCCAAAAGTCAAGACCCAAAAAAATCCCTAGGGCTTCCAGCAAAACCCCAAAAAATCCCCGGACCAAAAATTAACCCCCAAAAAATCCCATGCCGATTTCTGCAGACTATTGTATAACACGTCGGCTAGTCACACTAGCCGGGAAATAAAAATCGCAACCATAAGTGAGTTTAGTACCTTACTTAAAAGTTGCAAATCTAGGGGACACTTTCTTTTACGGTTAACTCTTTTTTACGCTATTTACGGCTAACGGTTAAAATTTTTTAATTTTTACGGCTATCGGCTAAATTTTTGGCCGTTTTACGCCTATCGGTAAACCCCATAGAGACCCTCTATATAGAGTGAATTTGAACAAATTACTACAAATTATCACGAAACTTCGTTGGAGCAATAAGGACAACAACAATTAACTGCAGAGTAAGTTTCATTGATCTTTATTTAGTATTTCCTAGAAATTTTAGGATGGTATTTTTAGCCCATACAAACACTGTAATTTTACTGGAACCGTACTGTGGTACTATCACAGAGCCTGGGTTACCTGTGGTCTGGGATGCTAAGCTTGCCTCAGGAAAAGCTATTTTAGTTAATTTGTTTCAATTTAATTGGGCCAGTGTGTTACGGCTCTTTCTAAATTTAAAATAAGAACGTGACGCTGATTATTTAAAACGTGGGATAAAACTTGTGAGTATATTCAGTTACACTATCATACTAAGACCCAAGTTTGAGAGCGTTGTATCTTCTGCATGAAATTTGCATGCCGTTTACTTTAATTTATTTTGACGACAATGCATCATTCCCATAACAAAACCTATTTTGCCAACCTGAAAAATTATAATAAAAGTTCCCACGAGTACAAATTAAATTGAAAGAAAAGCACCCTTCGACGACATTTCCTCATAACTTACCACTTTTTTTATGATAAGCCTCTTGGCGCATGTTCTTTGCTCCTCATCGCCGGTGATCGCAAACCCTGCCTCTTCCTTGTTCAGTGAATCAACTCTAGCCCCAGAATTCTGTCTTATTTCATTGATTGTACGGCCACCTTTTCCAATCACGTAACCTTTCAAATGAACCGGCACTTCTAAAAATTCGCTCTCCATTTCATCTGTATTTCGCTCCTCTGTATTGAGTGTAAGAAAATCTGGTAAGAGAGCAAATAATAGGCA